CGAAAACTACTCATACTTTCGATAACCTGAACATAACGACCCATCTCTTGGGAACAGATTCAATTGAGGAAAAAATCTCTATCTCCAATATTATAGTTGGAAGACGCCCCCAATAAATTGCGCATTTTCAATTTTCAACGAACTTGAGACCATCACCACCACTCTCTTAAGCGTTCTTTACGTCGCCGAAAATTGGCGCCGTAAGAGAGTTGAGAAAATATTGGAAATGATTTTGAGGCTTCATGTGAAGTGCCCTCAAACATAAAAATGTCCGTTTGAAACTCCCAAAACCGCGAGTCAATTAATATCGATTGGAGAATATCAATTATGAAGAAAAGACGACTAGACGGTTTAGGTGCTAGCGTTAATAACAACCGGACGTTTCGCCGTCAATAGATTTTTCGGTATAAAAAAGCTACAAAACATGGCTTCACGTATCAGAGGATATTTTTCTAAATTTAGCAAACAAGATTAATCCAGTTTTTCGTTAACAAACCCAAAATGTTCTTCAGTGTGCGAGCACGTGTTCCACGGTGAAGTCTGTTTCACACGTGTCGCAGATGGGTGGGGAGGTTCTCGCAAGAGGAAACCATGTGAGAAGGGCAGTGACCGATGCGAAGGCTATACTGCAATTTTTCCAACTCTTCCCTTCAAATGCCCTCGATGCCCTATTTCACGGTGGCATTATGTCACTGTTTTTCACGTCTTTCTCCGTCAGTCCGCTAGATTTCGCAAGATCGCGACCGTATAGCTGTGCTGGAAAGACCGCGACCATGCGACATCTGGTGGCACGACCGAGAAAGACGCGAAATAGTGACAAGCCATCGTGAATTAGGGGCTTCATGGGCAGTTATAAAAATCGCAGAATAGTCAAAGCAACCTTCTCACGCCTTACAGAACGGGCGGAGGAACACTAGATATTTAGTCTTTAACGTCCCTTAATTTAAAGATGTTATTGTGCCATTGTGTTTGCCATGTACTGAAAATAGAGCGCTTCAGGTATGCCTTTGAATCATCAGAGGGGAAGAAAGGAATGTCAATAGCTGACTTCCGAGACGCTCGGTTAGATAGCTCATTGCCGGCGACTCCCACTTGACCAGGGGCTCAACATACTACTAGGCCATAGTGGCATCACAAAAACAGGCGAAACAAATATTGTAGGCAAGTGATGAGAGGGAAAAATAGTAAAAACCGACTGAAGAGCACTTTGGGAATCACTGCATATAACTAGACGTCGTTACGCACACACACACACACACACAATACATACATAT